TGAATAAATGTTGGTGGTCAGATGAAGGGGCACAAAAATAGTTTTACTCTTTCCACATAAAGTAGAAGCAGTTTTTGTGACTGCTTTGGCGCGACAACATTAGGAGTTTGTAACAGAAGGAGTTTCATCTAGCATTTGTTGAGAGCAATAGAAATGAAGTGGTCGTGGTGTAGTACTTGAGTTATCTTTGGATCCGTTGTTAGGTTCATCACCATCGTATGCCGAAGGCCTCGAGCATCATGAACAGGACTTTGTAAGACTATCATTGGAACTGAAAATGGTACTGTATTGCCCTCTATCTGATTAGAATAGGTAACTATTTGTTGTATCCGTTTTCATGCAACTTTGAATGTTTTTAAAAGTCATCTCGCAGAAAACTGAATGGTACCTCATAGTGGCATGCTATCGTTATGCATCGACGCATGATGGGATAAAGGTGGCGCGACCTAGCTCATAAAGTAGACCAGAGAACGTTATTTGAATTGCATAATTGGTGGGAAGTGGCATGAAAACTAAGTCATGGTCATAATGTCGTCTCTTGCCTCTTTTTTCAGCGCATGTTGCGACAAGCTGCCCACATCGGGTGTCATGTCAAAGCAGCAAGTGAAGAGCGTAAAAAATGGGGCGCACGCCTGGTTCCACGAGCTTGTGGCCAGAAGGACACAGGTCAACTGGAAGTTTTACGTTTTCAGCCTCATTTTCACGGATGTCTTCGACACCTACTGTGAGAAAGTGTGGGGCTCAACTTCTCACGAAGTTCTTCGGCGATCCACAGTTAGCTGGTTGGAGGATCACTGCGATTTGCCACAGTTGCGAAAGTGTAAGTCATTATCACTCCTTGCCTTCTCTCAAATCATCTACAGAGTTTTTTCGTTTTACGCAGGTTAGGCTCTATTAGCAACGGATCTACCTCACATATGTTGCGTGTCTCCCTTGAAACGCTTGTGAAAATCAACTCTTGCCTAAATGGGAAAAAATTGTTTGAGAGGAAGCTCATGTTTACAACACATTTTCCAAAATAGATGGGATAGGAATTTTAGGTAGAGTGAACATGCGCCATAACTTTAACCCTCCCTTGACCCCAGCAACAAAACGTCTTGGGAAGTGCTCGGAGGTGGTTTGGACTCTGATGGAAATGGCATTTTCCCCACCGCTGATCTTGATTTTTTCAGCGATTTCCGCGGCAAACCAACCCGATCTGTTCCTCTTGTCACCGTTTATTTCCTATTTAAGCCCGTTCACAAAGTGTTTATTGCCGATTGAGATTCACTAAATTTTGAGCAATGACCATTCGCTATATTTAAATCCAATTTTAAATTCCTACGAAAATTGGTAACGCTATGTTATGACACAGTTCACTTTGCGGGCCATGGATTTGCCTTGAAGGACTTCAAATAGGTTGACACTTATATCCCCTTAAAGCTTCCATCCAATGTGTGGTTAGGAGTAGGCGTACGCTGAATAGTATTTAAGCAACATGGACACTGTACATAATTGGGTACAAAAATCGGGCTCACT